TTTTCCTACCCAGAACACAGCAACCCACCAGCCACACCTTCCCAGCCAGGGTCCTGGCTCACGGGCACCTTCCTGGTCCACCTGCCAAAGCCTCTGTTGCTACCTTAGTTGTTCTCATGCTAGTGGTTCACAGGGCTCTAGGGTTAGAAGGCTGCTGGGGTGGGGGGCAGGGGCATCACAGGAAGAGAGGCAGAGAGAGGGCTGCTCAGGAGTTGAGGGTAGAGTCCACTAAAAGCCCCAGGCAGAGGGAAGGTAGGAGTAAGACGGGTCAGCAGGCAACCCCCAAGGGTTGCGCCCGACGCCTGTCACATCCCACCCTGCTGAGCTGAGCTGCAGTCCTGAGTTGAGGAGCTCGAGGAGGAAACGGGCAGAGAGACTGGGCGGGAGGGCAGCAGATGTGCAGACAGGCTCCCGCGAGGGTGGAGCACAAGCAGACCAGCTCCCTGAGCCTGGGGGGGCCCTGAACCCCACTCTGCTCCTTGGAGTCCTCACCAAGCCGCCCTCCCCATCGCTCCGTCCAGGAGACCCCAGCAGGGGCAGGTCGCTAGGAATGAACAGCGAGCTCCCTACGAGCCTCAGGGCCCGAGGCAAATTAACTAGCTCCTCCGTGCCTCAGTTTCACCTGCTGCACAGCGGGCCTTTGTGCACCGTCCTATCAGGTACCAAGTGGGCACTTCACAGGGCCTGACTTAGCCCTCGATGCTGTGCCATCAGCAGCAGAGTGGGTCTGAGCTGAGACAGGCCACAGCAGCCCCTGTGGGGCCGTGGCGAGGAGGGAGCCTGGGGCTGGGCGGGGCTATGAAGCCCACCGAGGCACCACTCACATTGTAGAGGATGTCGGTCCAGCCCTCCATGGTGATGCACTGGAACACCGTCAGGACGGAGAACAGGATGTTGTCGAAGTTGGTGATCCCGAAGTTGGGCCCTGGCCAGTACTCCCGGCACTGGGTGTCGCCCTCACACAGCCGGGCGGGGGGCTCTGGGCCGCAGGGAAAGTCACCCGTGGGATCTGCATCTGGGGGATGAGAGCGGGCGCACACCCTGAGCCCGGAGATGCAGCACTCTGACCCTCCTGGGCCCAGAGACCTCGCCGCAGGGGGGCGGGAGTGAGGCTGCAGGAAGCCTCGTTCAGCTCCCCAGCACCAGCCCCGCAGCTTAGACCCACACCCAGGAATAAGCACTCGGCCCCCCTCTCTCCCAGCACCGTGTAAAGCTGCTCAGGACTCACTCGTCCTAAAGTTGGAAACAGCAAACTCCCAGTCTCTACCTCCTCCTTCGCCCTCACAGCCAGACTGCCACCAAGACTCTCCCCACACACAGACCCACCTGTCACCCTGGAGCCAGGATCAAGTGGGACTCAGCCACCGTGGCCCCGTGCTCCTTGGCCCGGAGCCCACCCCACCCGTGCCCAGGGCCCAGTCTCACTGCCTCGGCCCTGCGGAGGGTACATGCCCCTATCAGGCTAAGCTTAGCAGGCAGCCAGGGACCACGGGGGGATGTGAAAGAGACCCCAGAAAGCCATGGTGAAGAAAGATCAAACCTTTTCTTAATAAACATGTGACAACACCTGTAAATCCCTCCCACCAACTTAGAAGTCTGTAGAAAAGCCAGGGTGGGAAGCAAATGCTCCCAGATCAGGAGGCAGAGCTGGCCACAGGGGTTCAGTCCTCCCTCTCCAACTACCTCCATACGTGCTCATAAAGGCCGAGGAGTCACTGTTCGTCTCTGCAGACAACTGCGTTCTCTGCGAATAACAGCATTACTTCTTTTCAAATTCTCGATAGAGTGTTTCTTCTTGTCTCATGGCACTAGCCCTGACTCCCGATGCCATGCGGCCTAGAAGTGACAGTGCGTGCCTTTACTTTGTTCACGACTTTAAAAGGAACGCTCTCAAGACTCACAGCACAGTACGGTGTTGACAAGAAATTCTACGGCGCTTAAGAAAAATCTGATAAGAGGTTTTTTAAAATCATGAACAATTTAAATGTTAGTAAAGACTTTTTCTGCATCTACTGAGATGATGATACGGGTTTTCTCCTCTCATGTCTGTAGCTCAAGCTCAAACCTTAACGTCATCCTCAGCTCTGCTCTCTCCGTTCCACTCCACGCCCCCTCTCCCAAAAGGCCTGCTGGCTCAGCGGGCCCCATGGCTGTGTCCCCGGAGCTTGGCTGGCTCTGACCGTCTGCACCAGACAGCCTGGCCCTGCCGCCAGCTCTCCCGAACTGAGGCCCCGTCCCACTGAGCCCTGTTTCTGCCTTCGCCTCCCTGAGCTGCCAGAACAGCCAGACGGTGTCACTCCTCACTCAAGGTGCTCTGCTGCCTTCCCATTTCTCTCAGAACGAAACTCAAGAGTTATCGCCATGGCCAAGACACCGGCATAATTTCCCCTCTGCGCTCCCCGTCCCTTACCCCAGCCTCTGCACGTGCTGGTCCCCATGACTAGCTCTCTGGCCAGGCGCCACACAGCTCTCCCTCTCACTGTGCTCAGATCGCTGTTCAAGTGTCGCCTCAGCAGAGGCCTCCCCTGGCCACTCTCAGCGAAGCAGGCCCTGAAACTATTTCAAATACCTTTTTGTTTCCTTCCTAGGAGTTACTACAACCTGTCGTTATTTCATTTACACACATTTACAGCTGTATTTATCAGGTTATTGTCTGTGGCCTGCCCTTGAACGTTAAGCTCCATCTCGTTCGTTTGGCACCTAGAAGGCACGCCGAGCGCCTAGAACAGTGCCCATCTCCTGGGTCGGTGACTCTGGTCCTCTGAGCAAGGAGTGCTGCCCAGCCTCACCTGTGCTGTTGGGGAAACAGGCCTTGTGGAATTTGCCCATGTAGAACTCCAGGCCAATGATGGCGAACATGAGGATGGCAAAGAAGAGGAGCAGCCCAATCTGCAGGAGTGGGACCATGGCCTTCATGATGGACTTGAGCACCACCTGCAAACCTGGGGCAGAGCGGGCAGAGCAGGGCAGGTCAGACAGCAGAGTGGGCAGAACCGGGAGTGGCCTGGGAGTGCAGAAGAGCAGCAGGAGCTGGCATGGGCGGGGCTGAAAGTCCTGTGCAAGGTGCCCCGCAGTGATACTCAGGGGACAAAGGACAGAGCTGGGAACCTTCAAAGTAGGGGACAGAGCAGGGCCTGGGGGGAAGCACAAAGTCTTAGGGAACAGAGGACAGAATGGTGCTCGTATGAGCAGAGCAGAGAGTGCTCGAGTTGGGGGACAAACCCCTGGGTCTTGGGGGGAAGGGGCTGAGCAGTGTCGGAAAGAAGGTGAGCAGCAGGGTGCTGGGGGGTCAGAGGATAAAGTCCAGAGCAGTGTGGGCTGGAGAGATCTGTGATCTATGGAGAGCTCAGGGCAGAGCAAGAGCAGAGAGTCCTGACAGGGAAGATGAGAGAATTCTGAGGGGGAAAAGCGGAAGATTCTGGAAGTTAAGAGCAGGCAATCCTGGGAGGGAAGGGTGGGGAATGCTGGGAACTAAGAGTGGGGAATCCTGGGAGGAAAGAGCATACAATCCTGACAGGAAATGCTGGCAGGGAATAACAGGGAAGGCTTGGAAGGAAGAGCTGGGAAGCCTAGAAGGGAAGAGCAGGGAATCCTGGGAAGAGTGGGGAATCCTGGGAGGGAAGAGCAGAGAATGCTGGGAGGGAAGAGCATAAAATCCTGGGAACCTGACAGGGAATGCTGGGAGGGAAGAGCCGGGAAGCCTGGGAGGGAAGAGCCGGGAAGCCTGGGAGGGAAAAGCAGAGGATGCTGGGAGGGAAGAGCAGGGAATACTGGGAAGAGGGGGGAATCCTGAGGGAAGAGC